TTTTTATGGATTCAATGAATTTCATCAAAAGTAGGTTCCTCAAAGTTTTTGAGATTGCGATTACGAATCTGATAGCAGTTTAAAAAAATACAAAATGGCGGATCCAATATGGCTGACAGTTTTTTAAAAAGTTGATAGAATTTGCTTCTAATTTAGTACTCGGAGTTTTTTGCGGTCGTTGATTATGTATCTTACGTTACATTTTAAAAATTCAAAAAGTCGGATATATGATGGACAGTTTTTAAAAAATTGATCGAATTTGCTTCAAAATTACTTGGTTTTTTGTTGTCGTTGATTACGAATCTGCGATGTTACATTAAAATTCAAAATGGCGGATCCAATATGGAAGGGAATTTTTGTTCAGACTCGCTTGAAACTTATTACTCGAGGTTCTTTTGGGGTCGCACTCATTAAGAATATACATTAAATTTTGTAAATTTAAAATTTGCTCAAATTAATGAAATGGGAATAAAGTTGATTTTTCGAACTTATATAGAGAAAAGTCGTGGAACTGTTTCAGTTGTGAAACATATTAAAGTGTTGGGGTTAAAATTTTATTTTTCTCAAGCCCCAATCAGTCAAAGTAATATAACTGAATAAAGTGTACCCATAACTAAAAAATTCTGGATTATTCACAAGTTTTTGCAAAAAACCCAACGGGATACTTACATTTTTGACAAACAAATTAACTCGCATAAATGATAATCATACTCTTACTTCGTTCTAGTTATCGTTGTTAAACCTAGTGAGGAATGGAACGCGCTTCCAACTTATTCTATCTTCGAAATTAGTTCAGCCGTCTTGGCACGTCTTTGTGAGGCTGTTGGTGATAAAGTTTAGTATGCTAATTGAGAGAACAGCTGCACGCTTCCCCTACTACCAACGAAATACTAAAATTATTGAATTTAAATTGCTATAATTATAATGTCTTACGGATGATGCGATTCTAATCTTTATTGTTATATAAGCTTGTCGTTTATTCCCGTATGCTTCAAAAATGTAAAGTTGCGCTCAAAGTCGCTTGGATATCCTCAACTCGCGGCTATATGTTAAATTATTTGATATTCTAATGTTGATGCAGTTGGAGAAGAAATAATTTAAAATATAGTAAAACTAAGTAAAAACTTTTAAACCAATGGGATAAAAAAAAATTTTTTGGGAAAACTGTATACCCTAATCGATAAAAGAACCCATTTTAGGGTTCTTTTATCGATTAGAACACAGTTTTTCCAAAAAATTTTATAAAAAATAAAAGAACCCATTTAGGGTTCTTTTATCAATTAGGGTACAGTTTTTTTTTAAGAAAAGTTAATAATAATAAATTATTAAAAATTAATAATTTAATTTCTTTAATGGAAAACGTAACCTTAAGATGGTCTAACTCACAGTTGAATCATTTTTTAAAAATTTTTAAACATATATATTCCAAAAGTCTGAGAATATTTTCGAAATAAGTAAATGTATAGTTCTTACCTTTTCTGATGGCACATTTGAAGGTGTGAAGAATGGACCTTTTACTTTTATAGAAACACACGTTCTACATGTCACATTAACGACGAAATGGAACACGTATTGCCCTGCTCGTAAAGTCTTGCGCGCTGCACTTTGTTTACCTTCATGTGAACCTGCACGTAAGCCATTATGCCTCAGACCCTGTCTTTTTACATTTCTCTCTTTATAGCGAAATATCTTTTGCAAGTTTGGTTTTATAAAAAAGAAGATGTTAAATCATCTTTCAGCAAATGTTTTGATGCTATTTGTAATGATTTTAGATAATTTTACAAAAGTTGGTGGTGTTTAATTGAAAACGCAGTTTTTTTTTATCACTTTGTCTAATTACTTGATTAATTTTTCGTTTTACCCGTTTCTTCAGTGTTCTATTCTTCTTTTTTTCGAATGATATTGAGAGAGTTTGATTAGACTGAAAAGAAGCAGTAAAATTACTCTATGAATGGCATTGCAAACCCCTAAGGAAATCTTTTAAGAAGTTAGTGTAGAGCGTGATTCTATTCTGAACTGCTGATACTAATGCCGAAGAAGCAAATTCCAATGTAATTTATCATATATGTAATATTTAGTTAAATTATTTAAAATATATTTTTATTTTGCAAATACGATTTATCTGTAAAAAATCGAATATTAAGTAATATTTTGTGCCGCATTATTATTATAAAAGAGAGGCGACAGATAACAAGCTACTAAGCTTCTCAACTACAAGGACAATTACCAAGAAACACAGTGAGATAACAACAACACCGAAAACACAACCTACTGTATAGGAGATGTCATTGGATTCTTACTCAGACAGGATGCTCATTTACTCTCCTTTAGTAAGGTGAATCATTCTATTGCGGTTGAAACGGTTATCTGCAGAGGGAGTCCTGCATATCGAGTTTGAGTGGCTGTTAATTAACGTTTTTCTTTCGAAGAATATTCCGTCTTTAATAAAACAGTGTCATTTCAATTAAATTTTTTAAAAAGAAATTTTGTTTCTAAAAGATTTTAATAATTGATGCGAAATTTCAATAAAATAATATATACAGTCGAACCTGGATAAGTGACATTTCAAGGGACCGTGAATTTTTTGTTACTTATAGAGGTTTTTCACTAATAGAGGTTTTCACTTATAGAGGTTGAAGAGCGGCCTCAGTCACTTTAAAGAGGTTCTCGCACTTACAGAGGTTTAAGCGTGCCCTTTTTCACTCATAGAGGTTCAATTAATTCAATCTACAAATGATAATACCAAATTTACTAAATTCATTAATTTATTTGTAAAATTTTTATGAAAAAGTGATTTGTCGATTTACACAATTATTAATTAAGTGAACTTCTATTAAAATTTGAATTACTGTTTACTTACTTCTATTGCCCAGTAAAATATTTATAATTATGAGGAAAAGATTTTCACTTACAGAGGTTGAAGACATGCTTCTGTCACTTATAGAGATCTACTTAAGAAAAATAATCACTTATAGAGGTTCAAGGAGCGCTTCATTCACTAATAGCTAGGTCTAGCAAAGAAAAAATATCGGTCACTTACAGATTCTCACTTATAGAGGTTTTTACTAATAGAGGTTTTTCACTTATCCAGGTTTCACTTAGCCAGGTTCGACTGTATATTAAATATTGAAATTAATAATATTTCAAATTTCTCTATAAGCGATATATAAATTAAATTTTTTCTTAACTATTAAAACATAAAGAAATAGATCTACTATTTACTATACTTTTTTTTAAAAGTAGCTACTATTTGGATACTATTTTTTTGTGAAACTAAAAGGTACTTTTTTTTAAATTTGCACTACTTCAAATCCGCTAATAGTTGAAATAAAAATTATTTTCAACAATTTTAATGAAATTCTTCTTAGAGACAAATAAAAATTATTTTATAAAATTCTTTAAAACAATTCAATTATTTTCAAAAATTCAATTATTTATAAAGAAAATTAATAAAATCCTTCTTAAAAATATTGAATTGATATCATGAATAATAAAATTTTCAACAGGAATTCAAATATTTGAAATACAATTTTCGAGGAAAATTCTTTGAAAGTTATTTATTATTTTCTAAAATGTTTATAAATTTGTTTATAAGAAATAAACTATTTTCTTATAAATAATAAAATTTATCGCAAGAATTTAATTATTTTTTATATAATTTCAATTAGATTATTCGAAATAATTGAATTATAGGCTTTTAAATTTTCATAAAACTGTTCAAAAAAATTCAATTATTTACAAATTTTTTTTAAAAATCCTATTCGCAAAAATTTAATTACTTTTAAAAATAATAAAAATTTTCACAGGAATTCAATTATTTCAAAAAATACAATAAAATTCGTTGGAAGAATTTAATTATTTTTAGAAATAATAAAAATCATCAGAGGATTTCGATAATTTATAATAAAATTTTTAATAAATTCCTTGAAAAATGTAATTATTTTCAAATTTTTTTTTAAAATTCTTCAAAACAAAATCAATAAATTTCAAAAGTTTTTGGAAAATCTTTTGCAATAATTCAATTATTTTTACAAATAATGAAATTTATTCTTCCTTGAAATTCAAATATTTTCAATATCTACTATTTGAATAAAATTTCCCAAAGAATATAATATATAATAATTATTTTCAAAAGTTTTATTAAAATTCTTTGAATGAAATCAATTATTTTCCAAAATTTTGATAAAATTCTTTATAGACGGCCCCTAACTAAAATTTTGCTATAAATCCATTATATTTTTATTTATTTTTGAAACAGTATTGTGAGAATTTTCAAATTCATTTGTTATTAAATGAAATTAATTTTTAAATCAATTTTTATTATAAAATTCTTCTAGAATTCAAATAATTTAAATACAAAAAATAATTTATTGTATATTTGAATGTTTCTTAAAATTAAATTCTCATAAAGAATTTTGTCAACAAATTTTAAAATAATTGAATTCATTTGACGAATTTCAATAAAATTTTTATGAATATTTACATTTTGCGAGGAATTTGATTAAAATTTTATTAAAAATAATTGAAATTCTGCGACAAGTTTTATTATCCTATTTATAAAAATAATTGAACCCCTGTAAAAAATTTTATTATTTAGAAAAATAATTTAATCCCTATAAAAATGTTATTATTTAAAAAAATAATTGAATTATATTGCGAAGAAATTTATAAAAAAAAATTTGTAAAGAATTGAATTTCATTGAAATTTTTATTATTTTGTGAAAATAATCGATAATAAAAATCATTAAATTAAGGAAAATTTTTGAAAATAATTGAAATTTTGCAAAGAATTTTTAAAAAATTTTTGAAAATAATTGAATTTTGGAGAAGAATTCGTATAGAATATGATTCTAGTGAAATTCTATAGAACTTTTTCAGCTGGGAAGAAAAATTGTTATTAGAAGATATTTAATTCATTGTTAAGTTTCTGTTGGTTTTTAAAGATTTAGGAATAGAAATTAAAAAGTTCTTTTTGTCTCATTTTTTTTTTATTATTTGCAGTTAACTGTTTTATTTACATCATTTTAGAAATAAAAACTAAAAATAAAATCAAGAACCAGGTACAAAGAGAATTTTTGTTTTGTATTTACAATTCAAAATTCTTACAATAACTTAAGACATCTTTTTATCATATCCCAATCAGAAATTACAGTACCACATCGCTTACGTAGCTGTGCGATCCGCGTATTCGGTTCGTGTCCCTCAAGGTCTAGGGTTCGATCCCCCATGTGTGCGAGATTTTTCAATCTTAATTCAAAGTGTTATATTTTCAATGTTAATAATATAAAGTGAAATGTAATTTTGAATAATTAATAACAATAATAATAAAAAATTAATAATTATAAAAATTACTTTTTAAAAAATTATGAAAGAATGAGATAAAAATATTTTTTACAAACTTATTTCAATAAAAGTAATTTTAATACTGGATCAGTACTGGCAAAATGTTATCATTCGAAAGTTAAGCCTTCTCTGGCGCTAATACTATAGGTACCAGTACTGCGCCAGTAGCCGATTTCTGATTGGGATTATACTCTCGTACTAGCTCATAGAATTACTTAATATTTTACAAATACACTAAAATTATTCAGTTAAATTCGAAGTCAAACGTAATTATTGTGAGAAAATATTGTAACATTAATAAAAAATATTAACAGTTTTTTATCCTTAGATATATATGTATTTAAATACATGTACATATTTGAATGTAAAACTAATTATGTTGCCCCATATTACTCCTATTGTCATTGAAATTCATAAATAAGATTAACCTTTTCAGAATGTAAATTTTTTTTGTAACATTAAATTAAAAAGCAAACTAGATCAATCTAGGTTTTAAAAATAATATAGCATTTTCAGATTTCCTTTAACATTTATATAAATTATTTCTTTATATAACTATATTGTCTGAAATAAAAGAAAACACATGTTATCTTATTATACATATATTTTATATAATATTAAATAGAACATAATTTCTTTATCTTCTTTGATACTGTTTATATAGATTTTGTAAAAGAAATTTTACAACCCTTAACATTTTATTGATAAAAATCTTACATAGACTCCTTTTTCATCTTTCTTGCTTTTTTTTGAGGTATATTTTATTTGATGTGTATATAACAGAACCCATATTAATGGATCATCAAGCCGTTTATAATATATAATGTATAAAGAGCATTAAATGCTTTGATTTCTCACTGTTGCCATTTGAGATTTGCAAGCACAATTAATAGCATCTTAAAAATATTATTATTGGAATGTATTTTGATGCCCCTCGATAATGAAATTTTAGGATTAGAGTGATGTTTTTTATTTATCTTAGCGGTAGATGGTATTGTGGAAGCTGTTGTGTATCCTATATGTCCATGAACTGTATTGTCTACTGGTTTATTTTCTTTTTTTTCTATATTATTCGCACCAACAATAATAACACTAACATCATCTTCATCTTGTTTCTCATCAGAAAGAGCTGGTAGAAGTACAGTCTGTGTTTTCGAGGGTCCCGAAATTTCTGTAAAATTAGCAGTTGTTTTTATTAAATGTTATTTTAAAAAATTGTTAATATTAAATTGTTAATATTTAAAATGAGGATTACAGTTTTTATACAGGGATACTTTTAGAATCTCATTTCGCGAAAGTATGCTGAACTGAAAGTTATTATTATTGTATGTGCTAATTTATAATTTCAGTTCTATTTTGTGTAGTTGGATTTCTTATATGTTAACATGTATATTTCTTGTGAAATCTATAAGAGGAAATGTCAACGAATAATAAGCGTTTAATTCAAACTCACCATATAAACGAATATTGCTTTCCATCTCTCCCAAAGAATTCTTTGCTGCACAACGATAAGAGCCCAAATCTTGCCTTTGTATATTTCGGATGGTTAATTTCATCCGGACTTCAAACGGTGATTTAATTGTTGTTTGAACATCGTGTCTCATGTTGGAAATAATCATTGAACCTTAAAGAGCAATTCAAAACCTTTTTTATTATTAATTATCTAAGTAATAAACAAAACACCAATTGTCATGTTATTAGAAATGGTAATGAAGGTTAAGAAGAATTTGTCACATTTGTAAAACAAATTTAGTAAATAAAATATTAAGGTTGAGGAAGTACCCCAGTTGTCGATTCTAGGATTAAATAAAATAATTGTGAAACTACTTTTTAGTTTACTATTTTAATATTATTTTTGCCATGAATTCAATGATTTTAGAATGATTATTAAACCTTTCTCACCCTTATCTTCGACCCAATAATTTATCGCCTTTGGTGATGCTTCGACAAAACATTCCAAATCTACATCAGTCCCTAGGGGAGCTCCAACTAGTTGATTAGGCACATGAATTATTGGAGGAACTGCAAAATAAATAAATTTTAGAATACTTAGTTTGTTATATGAGTAATCAAACAGCTTTATAAGTATAAGTAAACGATTAGTGAAATTTCTAAAGATGCTTCACATGTACCGAATAAATTAAATTATTTACAATGTATATTAACGATGATACGTTTGCTGACAGCAGGAGGAACTCCATTACTAGCAATACAGAAGTAGGCACCCATTTCATGTCGAAGAACGTTTATTAATTTTAACTCTTCTCCTTTATATTCTGAAACAACAATTTCTGACCCAAAATACGGATTAGTTTAAATTAGGATAGAAATACCCAGTTAACCAATAATTGTCGTACTGTCTGAATTTTATATTATCCCTGATACTCAATAACACCCGACAATTAGGTATGAAATAAATTCTCTTTTTTATTGTCGATCTGAAATAACAAAAAATTAACATTCCACTTACTATTTGGTTTTTGAATGGCTTTTCCCAAATGTACTTGACGTAACACTATGTCCTTTCCATCTTCTCGACGCCAACTGACTGTGGGTTTTGGAACTCCTTTCGCGTGACAAGTTAATGTTACCTACAATTTAAAATATTTTATAGCATTCTGTTTTTGAACCTTTATTTATCTTACAGCTAAGATCGTAAAAAGAATTCAAAAAAATTTGTAATTATTTGTTTTCTTACTTGTCCGCCTTCTCTGACCATGACATCACTTGATGTTTCTCCTGACAAAAAATCCGGAGGTACAAGTACAGTTAAGACACCTGTCTACGAAAAACTTCAGTTTAAATTACTTACTATATGTTCATCTAAATTATTTTAATACAAATAAGTTCTAGGCAAGTAAGAACATAAAATCTATACCCTTTTGTATAAAAATGTTACATTAAAATTAAAATAAATTAAAAAAATTGTTAGCTAAAGAGTTTAAAATGGGGAGTAGAAAATTGAGTATAAGCGATGAACATGTTGCTGATGTTTTAACAAAGTCTATTCCGAGAGTGCAATTTGAAAAGTTGCACGAAAAGTTGGGTGTAGTTTTCTTCTTGATTAAAAAGGATATTAGTGAACTTAAGGAATCATCGCGTAAAAAATTTTAAAATCAGAAGGAATATTAAAATTATATGTTTGATTTTTAAGTTTCAACTGTTTTTACGTAATGATCATTTTTAGTGTCTATAGACACTAAGAAATTTTTGTAAATTATGACATTTTGACTCATTTGGTGATTAGGATAAAATTTTATATTCTTACTTCAAATGGCCTTTTGAGTTTTCAATAATTATAAATGTTTAATCGAATACAATGATTATTAATTATTTCTCTGTGTCTAATTTATTTTATTGTACATCTTGAAAATTTTCTTAAACTTAATTCACGATTTAATTGTACATTAAATACCTGGCTTTTCATTGGATCAGTATTTATTTGGCACATATACACGCCTGCATCTTCTAATTGGACACCTTTTATATGCAAGCTCCATGTCGAATGATCGCCACGTGACACATACACTCGTGGATTATGAGTTATTACATGATCGTGAATTGCTTGAATGGCTTTTGTATCTGCTTTCACCCATCCTACCTATAACAAAAGTGCCATCCTTTTGTTTAACAATAAGAAGTAGAAAAACAATAATAAAAAAATTAAATTAAAAATAATGAAAATGATAAGAAAATGAAAAAAAAATGAAAAATAAGAAAACGATAAACTATTTAAAAATAAATTCTGTTGCAATTTCAATGTGAAGTAAATTCGATCAATAGAAGGTTATAATTATTATAATTATAATTATATAGAATAAAAACTAAACTTAGCGTCATTTCAATGCGCGCATCAAGTAAAAACTACTTTTAATATTTTTTGGAGAAATGATCCAAATTTTTTTTTTTTTTTTGGAATTTTCTACTTATCTTAAATTCTGTTTAAAATTGTAGTATAAACAGTAGAATTTAATATTGCAAAACGTTTATGAAATAGCACATTAGCTCATGGAAAATTTCATTTTTACTGAATAAAATTTGCCTAAAAATCCATTTTGAAATTTTCTTTGAAGAAGATAGAATTCTGTGAAATAGAATGCCCCTTATTTTATAAACGACAACAAAGCACATTCTTCGATCGTGCTACTACCATACCTGTATCTTGTAATATAGATCCACAGATATACTTTCTGTACTCGGACCTTTATCAGCTACATTCAATTGAGTTATCGCTAGGAACGTGTAAGTTTATGGCATCTTGTATTATTTTCAGATATTCATATAAAGTTCGATTGCTCTAGTTCTGAATATTTGCAATATAGCTAAATTAGAGAAGAAACTGAGTTGTAGAACACTTTCATAATTTTCTAAGTCAACTTAATTTTTATTTCACATTAGAAAATTAATCATAAGTAAAGAAATTACAGATAGAAATCTACAAACATTTCCTCAAGATGCGCGATAAATAATGCTTTTCAGATTATTAATTTATAGGTTTAATGAAAAAATGTTGTAAAAAACTTTTAGAATGCAATTCGATATTCTATTTCTAGAAATTAAAAATTAAATAACTGTCTTAAAAATAATAAACTAAGTGCTTCTAATCCGAAGAGGGGAATTGAATTATTGACCCTTATGCACAAGTGTTCATATATGACCCAGATAACCCCTAAAGAAAATATTGTGATGTTTTTGATTAGAATGTAGCTAGAAGCCGAACAATTTGCAACTTCCACCTGGGCTCTCTTTCCATAGCACGACTCTAACTTTGACTACCGGTCATGCCATGGATTCAGCGATTAGATTTTAGATTTCCTCAAGGGATTTTCTTTTTTAATTATATAAAAATTAGTATTATTATTAACTTCGATGACAGACATGAACACATGAGACGTAAAAATGATGATTTACGACTAAGAATCATAATGTTTTTCTCTTAGCAGTATTTTGGTTGTCTGTTGACAGTTGTTTTGTATATTTGGAATTGACACAATATCGCCTAGTAAAATGTCAAATTCTTGGAGTTTATTTCTTAAAACACACACACATATTTTATAGCCGACATAAATCCATGAACACAGCAGTATCACAGATTTCAGAATGTTGTCTCGATAGTGGATATTGAGATTTATGTGCTGGCGTTTTTTAATAGATGTCCATTCGTTTAATGTAAATCCTAAATACTTCATTATCAAGTTTATCCTACAATATTTCCTTAAAAATATTTTGTTTAATTATACGTTTTAATATTTTTTAGACCTTTTTTTAAATACAGGGAAATTTATTACTGGCCTTTGATCTTCAATCCACAACACCATAGCCAAGGCGCTTAAAATCCTACAAATACTTTAATGTTATCATCTTAGCAATTTAACAACTTCTATAATTTTTACATTTCCTGATAAGTACGGCAGTGCCGTGAAGACGTTAATAATAATATAAAGTAGGAAAAGCTACAAGTCAGTCATTATGAAAAATGATTTTTGCTTCATTTTATACTTTTTTCACCTAACTTATATCTATAATTTAGAGTAAGAGGAAATTTTTCTGTTTTAGTTTTCCTCTTGTACCACTTTATATTCCCTTCTTATCGCTATTATCAGATTTCTGAGGCACGACCTATTCAGATTTACATTTATATGTAAATCTCGACTTTGAGTTAAATGTTTCAACTCCTCAAGTTTTGTTAAAAACATCAGAGTATATTAAATTTAATTAGTCGTTTCTTATGTTTTCTCTTTATTTTAATTAAATTAAAACGTCATGTCAATTAAATCCCAAATTGACTTCTGTGAAGGTGAATAATTGGAAGTGAATTACTTTTGCCTTCGAATAATTATTAATCATTTATAGAAAAGCAACTACAGAGAGAAACATCGTAATATTTTTACATGACGCACTGCTGCCGTCTCCACTAAACACTATTCGTGCTAAGAATCGTTAATCACGTAAGATATTTTTTTCATGAAATCTTGTATTTGTAGCATGGATCTACGTGATGTGAGATTCAAAATATATTTAATAAGAAGCTTAAAGAATTTTATATTTAATTCAGTTTAAAAATTCTAATGTTTAGAAAATATATAGAATATTATATATTACGCATATATATAATACATTACGCGTATTTTTTACTAGAATCATATAACCCTAAATGACTTGTGTATACCTATTGAAAATTCACAATAATATATTCTCAGCAGATAATGAACAAAAAAACCAGTTCTTTCCGTCTTAACTCTCAGTGCATGAAACTTATCATGTATTTTCTGTCGAAGCTGTAAATGTCGAAACAATAGAAGGGTATTTAACTTTAATCGATTACTGAGGAAATATATATTTTTGGGCAACGCAGCAGTTTCCAACGAAGACAGAAAATGCTACGTTATGGCCTATAACATAGGTTACGAGGACATTAAGATACAAATTGCTTCTCCAACCATTTACTCTTTCGTTTTTTTTTTATAATGTTGATAAGAATTAAGAAATTATAGTCCTATGAAAAACAGAACATTATAAAACTTATTGAAGAATTTCTTTATCCCTTTAATTTTCCCGTGACGAGTTTTCTAGAATATTACTTTAAAAGAGCATTTGATCTAATTCTAATGAGCAAACAATATCGTTTACTACGAATGTATAAAAAATAGTTGAGGAAGCCAGTAAAAAATTTGGTCGATATTCAAATCATACAATCTATACAATTATCTGCTCTAAAATTCCGGACGCTAACGGTAGTCCTCAACGGTTCTTGGTAATGGATTTTGACCTTTAGAACACAAAAACGACTAGAGTTACGTATTCTCTCCAAAAAATGATAGATATATCTGCGATGGTCTATAGTTAATACAAAAAACTTCTTGGTTCTCTATCTTGTCGGATGTTTTCATCAAATACCGACAATTGCCATTGATGGGCAATTTTATTGCCTTTTTCACTAATTGCGGATACTATAAATAATTGCAGATGCCTCCCGGTAAGGAGGCTTGCATCAGAAAGTATTCAAAATTCTCAATTCCTTTTAATTTCTTTTTTTCCCTGAATTTTGAATTCCTAATAAGTGACCATAAATACAAAATTTTTAATTCCCTTTAATATCGCCGGATAATCGTTGACAAAGGTTTGGAAAATAATTGAAAAGCACAAAATTTTAAGTTAGGTATAAAAAGGTATTCAATTTTAAATATTATTTAAGACAAACTAGATGCATTTGAAGTTAATTTTTTATCAGCAAGTGAAATAAAAGATGAGGGTAAGAATTATAATTAAATAAAGTTTTAAGACAAATTGTACATTAATGTGATTTCCATGAAAATCGATTCTCATCGGTTGCTTTATATCATATAACGAACATTTACTTTTAAAAATTTCAAAACTTGAATATATTATAATGCTTAAAAATTACAGAACAAAAATGTAGGAAAAGATTATATCAGATTTACTTTTATTTGCACTTTTGTAATTTGCACCCGATTATAAGCACGTGTTACAGGAAGAACAAAACACTTTTGACGACAAGCAAGATGCATCTACTACGCAATAATTCATAGGTTTCAAAATTCGTATTAAAAATTCAGTGCAGGACCGTTACTAAGTTGGTTCTAAGAATATATCTTCCATCAATTAATAAGTGGGTTAGAATTTCTGAAATTCCGGTAACTATTTTTTGGATGAGAAATATAAAAGATGTTCTGATAATCCATATCGCAATTTTGGATTAGTCAACATGAATTAGAAAATTTTCCTCAATTAATTTTATGTAGAACATTACATGAACTATAAAGTACAACTTTTCTTGAAAAATTAAATGTGACGCTACAAAGAGATTTATAAAAAGCTAATAGTATAATTTATTTATCTGGATTAAAGAGAAAAAAAAATAGTACCCATGATCATCAATTTCATAATTTTTTTTTATAGTTATAAAAAATAAAGCACTTGCCCTGTAACCTCCTAAATGTTCCACTAAACAAGTAAAAACTGCATCTCTTCCAATTGCTACCGTTACGTTAGTAATAGGAGTGATAAATTCCGGTTGAAATGCTCTACCTAAAACAAAAACATTGTTAGCTTAATTAGTTTAACATTCAAAAGTTTCTTATGAATTATTCAAATTAATAAATGTAAATAAATTTATTGTGTAGTCTGATACAAATGACTTTTAAAATGATGCATACAGAACTTTTTTGCACTCTATAGTGTTACCAAATTCTTAATAAACTGTTAATTTTTATTTGCATGCAAAACATTAAAATACAATTTACTCTCACGTCGCAAAGGGGCCAGAAAACAGAATTTAGCTGGTTAAGTGAGAAAATCGAAGACTGACAATAACTTTTTTATGATTTAATGATTTATTAGATCTTGTTATATTCGACTGAATAAAAGTATTATTTTGAGCTTTTGCAGTTTAAGTTACATGTTACACTCATACATCATTGTTTTTATACAATTTCAGTGTTTCAAACTGTGAACACACATCGCAGAAATCATTTTTAATACATAAATTTTTAAAAATCTTTTTCTTATAGGAGCAAAAATTGAGCAGTGAAGCAGAAAGTCAGATATGCTTTCTAGAAAATTAGAACTGGAAATAGTACAGATTGCATTAGTGTCTGAGCATAACTCGGCTTTCTTAAGAAATAAATTTTACTTTTACAAAAAAATGGCAACCGAAAAAAATCACACTGACGATACCGTGACTTCGCTTCCGTCAAGAGGCATGGTATAAGATCGCAAAGGTAACTGTCAGACTAGACAAAACTACATCACAGTCCGCTAACGAAATGGTAGAGATAGACTACGCAAGCAGCTCAAGACTGCGATTAAATTTCACATTCATGACTGCTGGACTAAAGATTTACTGGTAGTGCTGCTGGGGATCCGTTATGTGTGGAAATGATCTAGGGTTACCAGATGAACTTTTATCTTTATCACTTAACACTACCAATTTCGGAACACAGGCAACAGTTGTGCAAGCCTTTCAGTATCAGATGAGACAATTAACCCTCAGTGTATACCCAATAAAAGTAAAACGTTTTGTATACTCTGAGTTACCATATAACCCAGCAACATTTACGAACTATATTTTGGGATCAAAATAAATTAATTGGAATAGTTATTTTCGTAACAAGGGCGCAAAATAGGTGATTTCGCCAAAGTCGTAATCACCTTTGCGCCCATGATGCGAACATAATTTTTTGTACTAACTGCATGGAAAGTATGACATTGAGGGCACGCCCGATTAAACGCTCATATAAGTTAAAAATTAAGCTCTATATAAACATTATATCGAATGAAGTTTATAATGATAGAAGTTTTAAAATAGAAATAAAAAACAATGTATTCTGGAAACATAGTATTTTTTTAGAACTTAGTAATTAATAATTGAACAAAACTGAAACAAGAACTTTTAAAATTGACAATTTTGATAAACGAAATGAGAACAAAACCAAATGTCTCATAATTTTTTTAGAGAAAATAAAAAAAAGTTGCAAATTTTTATAGACAAAATAAAACAAGTTGAAAATGTTTGCAGTTCTATAGCCAACATAAAAAGAAAGTCAAAAATGTCGCATTTTAATGAAGAAAATCGAATAATTAACAAGCGGGCGCAAAATACTTTTCCGCCCGCTTGGAGGTAGGGGAAGCGGGCGGAAAATACTTTACCGCCCGCTGACGTCATACAAGCGGGCGCAAAATACTTTTCCGCCCGCTTCCCCCACTCCCGGGTGTAATGTGTTACTTTGCGCCCGCCTTAAGTGCCCGAAATGACATACTTTCCGTGCAGGTAGGACAAAAAAGTTTTTTTCTTAGTGATCAGAAATTTTTTCAAAAATATAATAGCTTTGTCTGACTTTCGATATTTTTCTATTTCTAGAAGTTATAGTTTAAAAAAATAAGCGGTTTTCTAAAAATTTCAAAAAAATTATTTTTTTAATTACTGTATTTTTGTCCAAAAAAGTATAAAAACAATTAATAGGAGGTTTTTGGAAGGCTGAAAAGTTGAACATTAAGACAGTGTCAGCCGTTTTTAAAGATTCACAAATGTCAGAAAATTAACAAATAGACCATTCAAAAGCTTATAAAATTCTACGATAAATGATATATAACTGAAAATTTTACTAATTCACACAAAGGTTTCAACAATCGACAAATTTGACATAGTTTTTAGAAATTGCAGAAAAAATTTAAAACTTGTATAGGTGTCATCATTCAAGTCTTATATTTAATTTAATACGAAAAAAGTTTAAAAAATCATATTCGATTCACAAGATATATTTATGAACCTATATGCTATAGGTTTATAATAATAAGATTTTTTAATTTTTTGATCTTAAATTAAAGACGAGACTTGAATTATGACACCTATGCTATAGTTTTAAATTTTTTCTGTTATTTTTAAAAAATATGCAAAAGTTTAAAAAATTGCAAAAAAAAAATTTATTTTGCAAAATTTGTCGATTCCTGAAACTTTTGTGTAAATTATAAAAATTTTCAAGGCGCATGATTATTCCCCAAATGTCATTTGACCAAACTGTCATTTTAACGAATTGCATTTATACAAACTGTTATTTTTACGAAATTTCACTTTTACGAATCGCCATTCTTACGAATTGACGCACTTTTGAGAAAAGTCATTTTTGCGAAATATCATTTTTACGAATTGTCATTTTTACGAATCGCTATTGTTCCGAAATATCATTTTTTCGAATTGGCATCTTTACGAAATGTCATTTGTGTGAATCAACGACATTTTTATGAAGAAACTAAATATTGAAATCTGAACAGTTTACATAACATAAAGCATAGTCCCATACCTAAATTATCTTCAGTGTAAATCAAAAGTGCAAGTAACACCACAATTAACGTTTTTTCTCGTACTATCATCTTAGCATAATTTTCATGAATCCACCTGGAAAAGAAAAATACACAGATTTAATAATATCACTATGAAAATTATGTTAATTAAATTAATATTATACAAAAATTTATAGTGTATAGGACAATAGCATGGTTCAAAAAGACAATAGTCAAAAATATGTACTTCTTTCTGAAGAAATCAAGTCAAACCCGATTAAAAAATATTATCTACCTAATATTTAAAAACAAGTTTAGTGGTTTTTGTAAGTGGGACCACATATATGTTCCACAGGTGTTAAAGGGGTTTAATTTAGTTGTTTAAGTAAACGGTTAATATATCGCCCTTACGTGCAGATATCACAGTAGTCCGACACCTATGCATTTTAAAGGAAAAACATATCAGCTTAATGGTTTGTGCTTTTATTTGCAAAAAGTTGTTATGCTGTTCTTACCACGCGCTCAAAATTCGCTACATCCCACACTGAAAAAAATTCTTAGTAGATTTGACTACTTTTTAACTACGTTCCTTAGTTCAATAAGTCCCCAAAGATAATTTTGAACTTACATTAATTATCAGATATGTAGTTGAATGAAGTGATAATACAGTTGCATTAACTACTTTTCTTAGTTAAATAGGAACCAATGACAGTTTTGCAGTAAAATTAACTGCTGATATGTAGTTAAAGTTACTAAGATAACTCAGTAATAAAGTAACTACTGAAAATGGTAAAATAAAATTATTTATAATTTATTATAAATATTATCGAGTTGTATTTTTTTATATTTCCCCCTACCCACTTTTGTTTACCTATACCTTATTTACTTAATGTCTATATACCTAACGGAGAAAAATCTCTAAGCGTCGGGAGTTGAACGCTCGACCCTAACATTCGTAAACCGATAACCCAACCACCTAACCACGCTCGCCCGCTTCGATGAGTTGCTTAATACTTAAAGGCATTCCAGACACAGTTCAACTGATAACTGTAGTTAATTTTACTACTTAAAGTAGTTGCATTTACAACTTTTCACAGTTGATAATCTTCTATAAAAATCTATAACATAAATTACATGGAAAATAATTCAACTCCTAGAAGAAGTAAAAACTACTACAAAATTAGTCTATCGAACTACTTTAAGTAGTAGAATCTACTACTTTCTGTAGTCATTTCTATAACATACCTGCAGTTACAAAGTTAACTGTAAAATTACATTAATTTAATTAATAATTTTTAAGTACATAAAACAGTTAAAATAAGTATCAAAAGTAGCCAGACTAACTAAAAAAGTAGTTCGTTTTATTACTTTTTACTCTACTAAGGGGATGTAGTTAAAAATGTCTCATGTATTTTTTTCAGTGCACCAATAGAATTATACAAAGACGAATCAATTATCGGTTTTTAAAATAAAGTATTCATGTTGGTGATGTTAAAAACACAGTTATAAACGATACCGCGTATTTTTAACTCACCCCGGTAAGAAGCGAGGAATTGAAAATAATTCAGAAGTTCATTTCTTTTGAATGGTCGAATTTCCAAAATAATCCACTGAATTGCTTTACTATCACTCAATATTTCACTTGAAAAAAAGGTTGGGTTTTAAAAAGTTGACGTTAAACATTGAACACTTGAAAATTTCTTTCATTTATTTCAATAAAAGAATTTTTTATTTTATCGTAAGCACTGTGCGTTTTTAACCATATTTTCACTAGTTTTAATATTTCATTTTAATTTTTAATAATTTAGCACTGAAATCACAATGAAATTCACACGACGCGAAAAATAGCTGTCACTGCGTTTTATTTTAAGACAATAACTAGAGGAGCTCCTACAAATAATTGGAAAGATTAGGCTTTTTCAAATTGTTTGTCAAAAGTTCTATTCCTTTTAATGCATTTCTAAAATTCGAAGCAGTCAATTGAAAAGAATAAACAATTTCTATTCGTTTGAATTGACTACGTAGAATCGCTTAAAGTCGATTGAAAAGAATAGCTATTTCTTATTTTTTTCAATTCGCTTTTACAAGATTTACTTTGTCCATTCAAAAGGATAGGATTCTGTATTTTTTTTTTTGAACATTGAGAAGCAGACAAATTTTGCGCATCCAAAAAAATAGAAACTCTTAATTTTTTTTTATCATCTCATTGACACGAGCAATAGAGAAGAATTAATTTTTCTGATATTTTGCTGTTCACAAAGGAATTGGTTTTTTTTGGAAATTCGCCTATTCAGAAAGATTAAAAAATCCTCGTTTAATAGAATATTTCTGGACAATTTAATCTTTTACTATTCCTCGCTTCTTACCGGGATAAATTAATATAGAAGATTTGAATAATAGCTGATAATTCTAAAAATGTATTGTGAAAAATATAAATTTTTGAACACATCCGAACTAAAAATAAGCTTTTGATTTAAAATTATTAGTGTCAAAAACAAAAAAGTGAATGAACATTTTGAACAAGTATTACTTAATGCATGGAGAAAATTTTATCTGTAGCGGTTATAAGACTTTTCTGTACTGTTTGAACGAAACGGCCATTTTATAGACCATTAGACCACTTTGGTTACAGCTACAGAGCAGTACTACTATTTTTCAAAATAGATCTGCTTAAATTACAGAACGCATCTGTAACATGTCATGAAGCCTACTGTACTTTACTTCTAAATTTTACTGTGGTTCGAATGGTAAACGGTTACAGAACTAACTTGTAGCATTGTTAAATGTGTAAAAAATATAAGTATATCCCACAATAAATATTGTTAATAAATAATCAAATTGATGTAGATAATTAAAAAATGTCTTTATCCACAGTCATTCACTTGCTTCGTTCAAGCTTAGACCTTTTAAGTTCTGATGAAAATGGTGCTCTCAAGGTAACAATAATTTATTATTTTTCCGAGTAACATAACAATAATAGTTTTTTATAATTGAAAATTAAATTTTAATTTTTTTTTAAATTTTCCGAATCATAACACAGGTTTAAAAATTAATAACTTTTTTTTGTCAATCGAATAAAACATTTTTTTTCAAATAGTAGGTGTTTTTTTAGTAAGAAAATCATAGTTTTAATTTTTTTCCCTCGTGCAGTTTTTCTGTAGCTTCAAATTTTGCATTTTCGAGGTTAAACGTCACTTAATCTTACCTGTATGAAAATTAGCTTATTAAAATATAATAAATAAGGTATCATTGGAAAGGTTATTAAATTACCTTTCGATCCATAGGTCACAGAATAAAATTCAATGAAAATTTAGAAAGTTACAGTCGATTAAAGATCAAATTTCATGCCAATTTTGATGATTTTTTGACACTTAAGTAACTTCTACTATTTTTTTCTACATTAAACAGGAAAAAATTTTTTTATTTTAATTTTTTTATTGATAGATTATAAAATTACAAAAATTTTAAGCCCTTGTGGACCTCGATTGGATTAAAAATGACAATTCTACACTAAATTTAGTGAACGAAACCGCCATTTTAAAATTTGAAAAACTAACATTGGATTCAAAATCTACGACATCTGAAACCCTTGATTAGTGATTTCAGTCACTTTAGGGCTTAAATAAATTTTATTACTTGAATTTTTGCTGCAAATGTTTATGGGATACTAAAAATGAAGAAAGTAGTGTCGTTCACTAAATTTAATGTAGAATTGTAATTTTTAATCCAATCGAGGTCCACAAGGGCTTAAAATTTTTGTAATCATGTAGTCTATCAATAAAAAAATTAAAATAAAAACATTTTTTTCCTGTTTAATGTAGAAAAAAATAGTAGAAGTTACTTAAGTGTCAAAAAATCATCAAAATTAGCATGAAATTTGATCTTTAATCGACTGTAACTTTCTCAATTTTTATTGAATTTTATTTTGTGACCTATGGATCGAAAGGTAATTTAATAACCTTTCCAATGATACCTCATTTATTATATTTTGATAAGCTAATTTTGTTACAGGTAAGTTTAAGTGACGTTTAACCTCGAAAATGCAAAATTTGAAGCTACAGAAAAACTGCACGAGGGAAAAAAATTAAAACTACGATTTTCTTACTCAAAAAACACCTACTATTCGAAAAAAAATGTTTTGTTCGATTGACAATTTCACTGTAAACCAGTGTAATCAACAATTTATCACAGTGCATCATAATTTCACTTTTTTATTATTTCTGGGATCGCATAGGGTGATTCTTCTAGATTTTTTGATGCTGAACACGAATCCGTAATCAGAATTGTTCAATCACCCTATGGTGATGGAACAATTCTGATTACGGAAAAAAACGGAATTTGACCTTGAAAATTGAAAAATTCCGTTTTTGGCGTATTTTTTGGTTTTTTATCACAGTACAAAAATTTTTCCTGGGGTTTTCATGATATGCGTACAAAAGCTAATATCCTCCTTAACAATTTCCAATCTTGACCTTTTGAAAATATCTATTTTTCGATCTTTGTTTGAATTTCGCGTTGGAACGTGAAATGAGATAACAGTGAGAGAAAATATTAATTAATTAAATCTCAAGCAGAAACCAATAATTCATAAAGAAAACTATTAGATTCTTAGGCAAATCAAAAATAAATTGGCATCTCTTTTTTTTGTTTATTATTTCCAATTGTTTAACAATAAATTTCTAAACGTATTTTGTTTATAAAACTGTTATATTAACAAATTATGTCTAAGAAGGTACCAGTGAATACCAGACCAGTGAATACATTTTTACAAATGCAGTCTGATTTTTGCTGATTTTAATCAGACTGAAAACATCTAATTTGTTTATAAAAATGTTATAAGGAAAAAAAATGTTGCGACGCGAACTTCAAACAAGGATAACTCATCGAAAAATGGATATTTTTAAAAGGTCGAAATTGGAAATTATTGAGGAGGATTATTGAGCTTTCGCACGCATATCATGAAACCTTTAGGAAAAAAATTTGTACCCTAATAAAAAACCAAAAAATTACCTCAAAAACGTCATTTTTTTAATTTTCAAGGTCAGATTTATCGAAAACCTAGGGTTGATATCACCAAAAGCGTCTGACACTGTTTTATCTAAAAACCACACGGAG